TTCTTGGAAATGAATATTCTTTCTTCTAGTGTGAAACACTTGTGACCTTTGTGAGTTGGTAACACTCCTAAGTAAATACATTGAGTGCTTCTAAACTTCAATTTGTGTTTGTTATATAGTATAAGTAATGAAAAACATGCACATCCAAAAGTTTTGATTGAAACATACTCAGGTTGCTTGTTGAAGATTGACTTGTAAGGTGAATTATAGTCATTGAAGACACTAGTTGGAAGTCTGTTGATCAAGTATACAACTGTTGTGAAACTATGATCCAAAAAGCTAATTGGCATTGAGGAATGTGTAAGCAAAGTAAGTCCCATCTACACAATTTATCTAGGCTTCCTCTGAATAGTTCCATTCTGATGATATAAGTGAGGACATGTCAACCTATGTAGAATATATTTCTCATTAAGAAACTTTGTGAAGGGCCTAAACTCTCCTTCCAAGTCAGTTTAAATTGACTTGATCTTGGGATTGAATTATGTAGCAACATAAGTGTGAAAGAGCTTGAATGCGATATAATAGGAATATCCACAACTTGAATGTGCATGTGATGGTCCCCATAAGTTAGTATGGACAAGTTCAAATAAAGTTGTATGTTTGGTTTTGGACAATGTGGCATATAATCTATGTGTTTTTCCATGGCAGTATGAATTGCAAAACACACGAGGCTCTTTATTATTCATAGAAACTTTACACAATGGAAGAATCTTATCGATTACTTTAGGATGAGCATGTCCTAATCTAACATGCCACTTGGACACCTTAGTTTCAGCTATTACATCTACTTGATCCATATTGATTGTCTTATTCAAAATAACAACATTATTAACTACAGGAATTAAAGCCTTTGGATTATGACTCAAGATACATCTTAAAGATTCCAATGTCATATTTTTGAAGAAATATAACTCACTTTTATTTAGGAATCCTTCAAGCAGCATCTGGTTAGACGTCGGAGATTTCAAAAAACACTTGTTAGAGTGAAATTCAAAATCAACATGTTTATCTTTGGAAAATTTGGACACATATATTAAATTTCTGAAAATGTTAGGAAGATTCAGTAAATCAGTTAATTTTAGAATAGAAGTTGACACAAGATTGGATTGAAAATGTGAATTCCCAACTGACTTAACTTCTACACTATGTCATGACCAACTATGATTTTATTTGATCCTGTACATGACTTAACACATTGCAAATTAGAATTGTTAGAAGTGATATGGTGAGATGCACTTGAATCACCAAACCATGCTTGAGATTCAAGTCCTTCTAGTATTTGCATGTGTAGGGATGTCAGTTTGGACCTGTTAATGGGGATCCCCGCGGGGAACGCCCCGTTCGGGGCCCCAAAGATGGGGAATTTTCCCCCGTGGGGGCGGGGATGAGGAGAAAAATTCCCCCGAGAGCATTTCGGGGACGGGGACGGGGAATACACCCCCCGCCCCGCGGGGACCCCGCCCCGCCTATTATTTTAATATAGTTAATTTAATATATATATTTTAGATTAGGTTTTTTAGTCATTTCCTTTATGTTTATTTATGAAGTATTTTTTAGCTTTTCAAGCATACTCATGATGCTAAATTTTATAATTATCCCTTATTAGTTTTGATGAAGTATAGTTTTTTAAACATAATTATGTTGTTGGATTTTTTTAGTTGTTTAGGCATATTGTTACTTTAAAAAGTATTATAGTTCATTTTGTTGAATTTTATAGCATTTTATAGAAATTTATAAAAAAAATATTATTATTTTGTGTTCCATTAGTATTTTTAATAAAAAATAATAAATGTCAAATACTAGTATTTTTTAATAACATAATAAATATGTGAATTCTTTGTGCTTTTTATTTTTATAGAAAATATAAACATTTTAAAAAAATAAAATATTAATGAATAAATGTAGGATCTATGGGGATCCCCGCGGGGAACGGGGATCCGCGGGGAACGGGGATGGGGATAGAAATTCCCCCGTGACGGAGATCGGGGACGGGGACGGGGAATGAATTTGATGGCGGGGAAAAAGATGGGGAAGTGTCCCCCCGGCCCCGCCCCGCCCCATTGACATCCCTATGCATGTGGTCTTGATGAGCCGGGTATATAGTTGTTGATGCATATGATGCTTCTTGATTATCAGTGCCTTCTTGTGCAATGCTTGTGTTATTAGAAGTTGATGCTTCTACATGAAGCTTGGGTGGTGTATGCTCAAAATACTCGTCAACCAGAAATCCATTACAACATGGCCAAACTTGTTACAAAGTTGACATGTTGGTCGATGTCATGTGGTATAAGTTTGGTTGCCACACCCTCTCCCTTGAGTTGGCTTGCCTCTTCCATGAAAGTAATCCACCTGAACTTCCATTCCTGTCAAGGTTTGAGATACCAATAGCTTGAGCTACATCGATTGTGGCACTAAGTGATGTTAGCTTCTGGCGATATTTGTCCAATGTAGCTTTTTGGACATACAATAGAGCTTCAACATATATATATATATATATATATATATATATATATATATATATATATATATATATATCCACTGGTTCAATTTTTCCATACACCATCATTATGAACTGGTTGTATTCTTCAAGTAACTCCTGAAGTATCGCATCAAATTCGTCAAGCTCTGAGATTGGATCTCCAATGGCTATGAGTGAATCTGCAATAACATAAACACGAAGCACATATTCAGAGATTGACCTGATACCTTTCTTGCTCATCTTTAATTCCGCCTTGAGTTGATGAACACATTTTCATTTGAGAGTTAAAGTGTTTATGCACAATATCCCTTACCTCATAGCATGTTTGCATGAGAAGACCCTGAGTAGCACTAATTCTGAAATCGTTGACAACAACTTTGTGAACAAGGTTAGATCTTACACTATTCAAGATTCATAACCTTCAGATACTATGTTAGCAATGCGATCATTTTCAATCTTGAGCATGGGAGGAATTTGTTGATTAACTACCACAAAAGTGGAGTTTATGTGAGAGTATTACACCCTCTACCTCTTGATTTCTCAATAAAAAATTATTTTCTTGAAACTTAATGGATAGTTTTGGTGCAAACTTATTGGTAGTAACTGAAAACACCACTAGTTTTGACGTTACTTGTGATGCTTGTCCTTTATGTTGCACTCCTTGTGGTGAAGTTTCAAGATCCGTCGTGAATGATTCTCTGAACAGTAATGGAGATCGAATATTGTGCAAGTTCAAGAGCTTCTTTGAAGCTTGAAAAATTAACGCTAATGCAGAGCTTGATGATGGTGCAATCAACTTCTCTGGAGCTGAAATCGTAGCTTGTAAATGACGAAGATGTTGTTGATGATGATAATAATGATGATATAGTAGAAGAACACTGTTCTCTTAGCGCATGATACCATGATTGAAGAATATAAATGCATGGTGAGACGAGAGATTGCATTCGTGGTGAAAACAAGAGAGAGAAAGATCTTCTTGCCTTTGTGTATTATTCTCATTAAAGTGAAGTGAATCTATTGCTCTCACTTATATACAAGGGTGGTGTAACTACCTTGAAGTTAGTTTCAAGCTACTGCTATCAAAAATGATTCTTAACTTTTATAACTAATTTTTACTCTCTAATATCAAGTATGACTTTAAAATATATGGTCATGTTAAAACGAGTCAATTCTATAACTAAATTCTACTCTCTATTATTAATCAAGTATGACAGTCATGTTAAAACAAATCAATATAAAATATTAAGTTTATTTGTTATTACTAAATATACCTGAATATGAGAAATATAATATTAAATTATACATAGGCAACATTGTGTCTCATGTTCAATATACTTATAAGGGCAAAACAATAATATAATATTAAATTATACATAGGCGACATTGTGTCTCATGTTCAATATACTTATAAGGGCAAAACAATAATTATCCACGTGATTATTACTCGTAATCAATCCATTTCAACCAACCAAATCCGTTTAATATACATATTTATGTAGAGAATGTTATGTGTGACGAGCTAACCTGTATACCCAACTTTACTTACACCATGATATTACCAGTTAGACAAGAGAACAAGTTTCAACGCAATGCCAACAAGAGAACAAACACACTATACCAAAAACATTCTATACAAAATTTCAAGTATATGATTAATTGTGAGCATAAGATGTGTTTGATTTGCTAAAAAAATAAAAAACTGAAGATGACTTTCTTTACCATGTTTAATGCAAAAATAAACCATGGAACTTGAAAAAATATGGCAAGAGACGGTAAAAAACCATAAATTTTTGCCACCATGATCAACTTTTTGTACCAAACATAAATTATTTTAAAAAAATCAAAAAATCTTTTTATTTTATTTTTTTATTTTAATTTTACGTAACAAATAGCAACACTTACAATATAATTTTTTACTAAAAATATATCTACTGGAGTGAGACTAGAAAGAGCAATACTCCCAAAGAACAAATCAGAAATACAGATGTCTACTCAGAAACTTTGATAAAATGACTGAAGCTTGGATGGAGTGTTAGGAACTTTCACAATTTAAGCAACACTTATACATTTGCCTCCAAATTTGCCCAGCTTCAACCCTTTTCTAAAAAAATCATTCTAAGCCAACCCAAATGGTGAGTTGTGGAGGGGGGAAAAAATGGAAAGTAATATGGTAAGGATGATGCAAGGTAGCATCTATGAACTCACTTGATCAGACAATTATTACTTGATCCATAATGATACAAGCTATTCTTCAAGAATAACAAATATGTTTCTCTTAATATGTAAACAGTCTAAATGAATCACAGAACATAGTCAGAAAAAGAATATGGCAAACAATATTGAGTTAAAATCTGGGTGAAGGAAGCAAGAATATTAATTTCAAGATAAGGCAGAATTTGAAAAAGGCATATATCAAAAATCACATGAAGGGTGACAGCAATTAGACGCGGTGCATACATATTATATCACCCTGGTATATATCATTATAAGGAAAAGAAAAAATGATAAGATTTTTTCCCTTCTATTCAGCCATCTTAGCCAACCGGTGAACAGTACTTCTAGCAACCCTATTAGTAGGATCAATCTTCAGCACGGTTCTCAGGTCTTCAGCACCAAGTTTGTACTTTTCCATACTTTCATACAAGAGAGCACGCTGAACGAGGACAGCTACATTTTTTCCGTTGTTTCCAATAACCTGCACAGGATAATGCAGATAGTTTACATTCTTCCTCAAAATTACATGGTGAATTACTGATAATACAGAATGATTGCATTCATGAGAAAGGAAGCATAAATATGGAAGGGAACACTTAGGGTGCCTATAGAACACTCGGACTAGCCGTCTATAGTAAATTTTCAAACTTCAATTACAAAATTGATTACACATGTTACCCCGGGTGTCAATGAAGAAAAATGCAGGACAAGACAATGATCTAGCTAATGGGAAAATATAAATCTAACAGCATTTACTGATACATGAAACTATGAAGCACTGACTTTTGCATTCCCTTCACACTAGGATATGTACAGTTATACACATTCAATACCAATACGCATAGACACTTAACATACCTTGAAACATCAAAGTCCAAACACAATGTTCTTATTAAATTATTTGGAATTGCAATTATATATATGAAACTTTTATACACATTATACATATGTTGTATTCTATATATATTTTTCAAGAACAGCTGTTTTGCTAAATTGGATAGCATATATATCTGATAGACCTATATAAATACTATAGCTGTTAAACTATTTTTTACTAAGAGATGACATATATTTGTTAGAAACTAGCTTTAAGATTTCAGGAATTATCCATCATGACGCAGGTTTTCATTCCATAAATAGAAGCAAAGCACTGCACTAACTAGAAATGACTTCCTTAAGGCATTTATGGGTGTGTTTGAAAGAGTTTATTTACAACTTATTTGGACTTGCTTATGGGTGTGTTTGAGTGTTTTGGAGAGCTTACATAAACAACTGGAGTCTTGTTCATTAAATTTTGTAAGCTTATTTTATTAACCTCTATGACTGTTTATCAAAGCAACTGACAACTTATGTAAAAACATTTTACCCATATTTTATATTTAGTTATAAAAATAGCTTATACATAAACACTTAATTAAGCTTAAAATGATAACTCAAAGCTTCTCTTCATCTCCTAGCTAGTTAATCCTAATATTTTCTGCCAAGCCTTGTTTTCGAGCAGAACCTAAAATGATATCATCTCATTTTGATTAGCTTTTCATCTTCTGTTTTTACAGCTTTAACTTATAGCAAAATGCAAATCCTTAGCATAACATATTTCATCTAGCATTATAAGTTATGCGGCACACAGCAAGGTACATGACACTGACACTTATAGCATTAGAAATTAGGAAAAAGTAAATTGATTGTGTATTCTTCCTAACTACATTTGCCGGTGCTACGGAGATATATATTATTCATATCTATAAAAGAACTACTATGAACAGCCCTCAATAAGATAGGAAAATATACCTGTGTACAATCCGCCACTGCTTTTTTATACTCTCCAACTTCTTTGTAACAAGAAGCTCTGCATGACAAAACCTCCACAGTGCCAGCACCATCTCCAGCTTTCTCCAAAAGGATGAGAGCCCATGAAAGCCATTTAATAGCATCAGCAAATTGTCCCTGTTTGTAATTATCCATCCCTTTGCCTTTCGCAGTAGAACCCGATATCCCAGCAGGAGGAGGTGGAAGTCCGTCAAGTTCAGTAGTTGTTCCACCCACATCATGGTTTCCACCTCCAAACTCAGTACCCCAATCATCAATCTCCGAAGACGCCGCAGCACCAGAACCACCACCACCGCCTCCAGAAGAAGCAGTTGAAGATGCAAAAAACATATCCATCGGATCACCACCACCACCACCACCTGAAGAAGCTTGAACAGGAGGCGTCCTATTCGAAAAAGCCGAAGATCCAGTAAAATCAACATCAATTCCAACACTACCACCACTCGATGGAAACGCATTCGAGCTCGATTTTGAAGCATTCTGAAAATCACCAAACCCATCATCTTCTGATTCAACCTTTTGAGGTTTAGCAGCTGAATTAAGACTAGAAGATGGCTTAGATCCAAAACCACCCAATGAACTAAAAGGATCTTTGTTACTGATCCCAATTCCACTACCAGATGCAGCAACACCAACGCCACTTCGGATCGAAGGACCTCCTAGATTAGGTTTCTGATTAGCATTCAAATTAAAGCTCCCAGAAGATGATGAACCCCAAGTAGAACCACTTTGAGGCGTATTCGAATTTTTCGGCAAAGAATTCGCCATATTCGACATTGAAAAAGACGATTTATTAGATGCCGGAGTTACATTTTTCAGAGGAACATTCGAAGAAGAAGAACCTTGACCCAAAGCAGAGGTTACCAAATCTCCAAACAGATTAGGGTTTTTATTAACAATTCCAATGCTAGGACCGGAAGGTTGAGTAGATCCCCAGCTCTTCCCGAAGATATCTCCGACCATTGACGGTGGTGCGCCGGGTAACCCGGCCGGAGTTTGGGTGGGTTGGTGGGTCCATGCCGTTTTTTTAGGTTGCGCCGATGAATACGAAGGAGTTGAGTATGAATTGGAATAGGAAGGATTGGGGTTTTTCTGATCTTTTAGGGATTTGGATCGGTTGGATCCGATTCCGAGATCGAGATCGAAGTTGTAGTTGTTGAGAGAAACGGAAGATGATTTTTGGGGATTTGGTTTTCCGTAATTGGAATTCATTTCTGAAATGTAGCGACGGAATAGAAGAGGGAAGATCTAGAAGATGAAGAAATTCGCAGGAAAATTTGTATGATCTGTTTTGTTCTTGATGATTAATCACTTTTTTTGGGTATAATCTATTCTGTTATAGTAAAAGTGTCAAAATGAGAAAATGAGAAAATGAGAAAATTAAATAAACCAATTAACAGCTAAAATGAAATGACTTTATTGATTATACAAAATGAGAAAAATGTTGTACCCACCAAAATTGTTAGGTAAAGATTTCGACAATGGAGTAAAATAATCATATATTAACAGAAGACCCTGGTTTAGAGTTTAGACAGTTTAAAATAATCATATAACTTAAAATTAAGATTTAATTATTAGAAAAGATAGGTTTATACTTTATAGTACTACAATTTTCTAACCACTATACCGTAATAGTATATAAAAAATCTACTGGTTTTATTTTTTTAATAATTCATTCTTTGCTTTCCGTGCACAAAAGTATTTTGTTTTTTACTCCTTCTGTTTAAAATTTCATACAAATTAAAAAATTATAATAATAGAAAAAGATAACAGTAATTTTACAAATTATTTTTTTTTAACCAAAATTATATATTAATTTAAAAAAAAAGTAGTACATCCAAGGCAATCCAACAAAGATTCAGCCAAACAAAAGCGACAAAAAACTATATCAGAAGCCTAATAATGTGTGGCCTAAACTTCCTATTTCTCCATCCTCTATACACTATATAGTCAATAATATTCTCCACTATATTATTCCTATTTGTATTACTATCAAAAATGACAGAGTTCTTGAGAATCCAAGTCTCATGAATGGCTTCAGTAATAGCAATTTTAAGTACAGAAGCCCTCCATCCTTTGCCTTTAGTATTCGCAATTATCCAATTCGTCTCAGCATTCCAAGGCCCCGGATTATGGATGATCCCCAACCATTTCAAGATGGCCTGCCAAGTACCAATAGTTTTAATACATGCGAAGAAAATATGGTAAGCACTTTCTTCTTCCAAACCACACATACTGCAAATACTCTCTTGAATTATACCAAAGCGTAAGAGTATGTCCTTCATTGGGAGGCTTCCATGACACAGGAGCCAAAGAGTGATTTTTGCCTTTGGTCTCGCAAGGTTATGCATAAGCAAACTACTCCAATTTATCCTGTTTGAATCATCAATCAGAACCTTATAAACAGTTTTCATAGAAAAGTTCTGTTGCAGGAGCATTTGATTCCACTGTTGCTGTATTGAGGTAACCAAATTCCTTTGATTCATAATTTTCCTCATGGTCCAAGTCCAATTCTGCCCAGCATCTACGTCCGTGGCATCCCGACCTTTCAAGTACACCTTATGAATTCACTTGACCCAAAGGCTATCACTTTTGTTGCAGATATTCCATAGACACTTAAGCAAGGTAGCTTGGTTCCAAACAGTCATGTTTTTCAGCCCTAGGCCTCCTTGCTTGCAAGGGATGCAGAATTTTCTCCAAGCTACAGGGCTCTTTTTACTCGTGTCAATTTTACCTGTCCTCACAAAGGTTCTACAAACAACATTTATTCTTTTAATCACAGTCTTTGGAAGAGGGAAGTTTAGCATCCAGAATTGGGTTACAGAGCAAATAATACTTTTGACTAATTAGACTCTACCTGCATAGCTGAGCAGCTTTGTGGACCAGTGGCGGATGCGACATGTAATCTTATCAATCAGGGGAAGGTAGTGCAGAATGCTGAGTTTCTTGCTGCTGAGAGGAACACCCAGGTACCAAATCGGAAAGTGCCCTTCTTCAAACCCAGTAGTAGCTTTGATTTTGGCCCTAACTTCCAAATCAACACATCCAAAAAATAGTTTGCATTTCCTGGGATTGAAGATGAGGCTTGTGGATTGAGAGAACTTCTTGAAAGTTGTCATTAAAATATCTACAGAAACCTGGTCACCCCTACTGAAGAGGAGGATATCATCCGCAAACGCGAGATTAGTCAAAGCTAAGCTCTCACACTTTGCGTGGTGATTGAAATTAGGGTCTTTTTGCATCTTCACCAAGCATCTATTTAGGTATTCTATCATGATAACAAATAGGAGGGGGGAGATAGGATCGCCCTGTCTAATACCTCTTTTAGCCTGCAAAGTTTCAGAAAAGCAGCCATTGATATTAAAAGTAAAGGAGACAGAGGAAACCAGGTTCATAACCCAGTTCACAAATCTGTTTGGGAAGCCCAACTCCTTCACAATACACTTTAAAGCCCCCCAGTTGACCATGTCGTACGCTTTCTGTAGATCAATTTGAACCATGCATCTTGGAGTGCCATTCTTCCTCTCATAACCTTTTATAAGCTCATAAGCTAAATGGATATGGTTATGGATATCTTGTCCAGTTACAAACGCAACCTGGTTCTTGTTAATGACGACCGACAAGATGTTTCTCATTCTCGCAGTGAGGATTTTTGAAATAATCTTGAGAAAAATAGTGCAGCTGGAGATTGGTCTAAAATCTTTAATGCTTTTAGAACTGTCACCTTTGGGGATCAGAGTGACCAATGTTCTGTTAAACATGTTGAGAATAAAACCTGAACTGGAGAATTCATTGACAGCAGTAATGACATCCAGCTTTAGAATATCCCAACAATTCTTAAAAAACTTTGCATTGAAGCCATCTATGCCAGGGGATTTGTTATCTCCTATATCTTTTAGGGCTTCTTCAATCTCCTTAATAGATACCTTGCTCACAAGGAAATTCTTTTGATCATTAGGAATTTGGTTACCCTCCCTTATTGCTTCCACATCAATGTGCTTAATTCTGTTAACTTTCTCTCCCATTAGACTAAGGTAAAAATTCATGATCTCTTTTTCTATGTTATTGTGGCCTGCTATGACCTCACCATCCTCTTTCTGTAGGAATTTGATGCAGTTTCTACTTTGTCTGGCTTTCAAATAAGCAAAGAAGAACTTGTTGTTGCCATCACCTTGTTTGATCCAATCAATCTTTGCCCTTTGTATAAGTCTGCTCTCTTCATGCTCGTGTAGTTTTATAACATCATCAATGAGCCTTTTAATATGCTCTATAGCCCTACTATCCTGCCTGTTCTTTATAAGGTAATTTTGAGCTTTGTGTAAGTTCTCTCTGGCAATTATTAACCGCTGCTTCATATTTCCAGCTTGTTTGCTGAAGATCTTGATAGCTGCCTTTAGTCTTTGAAGCTTGTACCATAGAATTTGCATTGGACTTCCCCTTGCAGGTTTGTCCCAGGAATCCTTTACCATCTCTTGAAAGCCACTTATATCTAGGAGATAGTTGTTTAATTTTAAGTGGTTTCTCCTCTTAGTGTCACCCGAGCCATTAATATGGAGCATTGAGTGATCAGAGACATTGGGGGGAAGAATGCTCAGCATGTGATCAGTATGTTGCAGGAACCATTCAGCATTACAAATGGCTTTATCTATCCTAGAATTAATTGTACCTTTGGCATGTTTATTAGACCAAGTGAAATGATCACCCACACTGTCCATCTCAAACAGCTCAGTCTTTTTCATCATATTGGCCAGATCTACAAATTCACTTTCACTCACCAGATTTCCTCCTATTTTGTCCTAGGATGTGACAACATTGTTGAAATCCCCTATAGTACACCATGGTCCAGCTTGAGTGTCATGGATGTTGTCCATCTTCTTCCAAAGAATCCTCCTCATATCTAAGTGGTTGTGAGCATATATAGCAGTTAGCCAAAAGAGAAATTCTCCTGTAACAGTATAAATACCACAATGAAGATGCTGACTAGACATGTTAACCAACTTCAGATCCACCTTTGTATCATCCTAGAGAATCCAGATTCTTCCATTAGGGTGGGCCATCTAATTGTCCATATAGGACCTTTTCAGATCAAGTTTCTCTCTAATTTTGTTTGCTTTACTTTCTTTAACTCCAGTTTCAATCAGAATGCTTATAGTGGGTTGGAGTTCTAAGAGAAGGTAGCTAATCTCTTTTAACTTACTAACCTTGTTAAGCCCTCGAACATTCCATGAGACTACCATGGTCCTCTGGCAAAAGCCACTAGAGGCTCGTTCAAACCCCCTAGCACCCCATAGCCATTCTCACAGTGGATCACCGATGTAGTTCCAAAATGACCACCTAGTTGTCCTCTGACTCTGCCCTATTTACTCAGCACAGTCCATTTATCTTCATCAGCAGGACTGCTGCTAGACTTCCCCTTAGGAGTAGAAATAATCTCAGTTGTCTTTTCCACTTCAGAAGATTTGTGCTCAAGACAGTCACCTTCTCTGTTTCAATACTCTTAGCAGTAATTGTTGGCTTTTTCTTTGGTTGCCACTCACTCTTTCTAGTTCTACTTTCACAATTATGTCCCACTGCTTGACACTTCTCACAATATTTGGGCCTCCATTCATATTCAATTCTTTGGATTAAGCGTTTCCCTCCTTATCTTTAATGCTAATTTCTTCAATGAGTTTCTGGGTAATATCTACCTCAACTAGGACTCTAGCATAGGACACGCGCATCTTGTTTGCAGTACATTCGTCTGTCACAATGGGGATACCAATAGCGCTGGCCAACATACTCAGATTTGACTTACCCCAAAGGTGAAGAGGCAACATTGGAATTTAACCCAGATATGGATAGTTCTCATCATGTCTTTCTTGAGATTGAATCTTGGTCTCCATTCTTTCAGAATCATCGGCATACCTCTGAAAGTATGCGGCCCTTTCATTAAGACAGTTTCCATCGCCTCACTGGAGTTGAAACGGAGTATGAAGTATCCTTCGTCATGGTAGAAGATGTTGGGTAGCTGTACATAATTCCAGGATTTCATCATGTAGTTCTTCACCGAGTGCATACTTAAATCTTCTCCAAGAACGTACATAATGAGAGAGTTTCTCCAGTACTGAATCTCGCGGTCTGTGTATTCCTCTTCAATTTCAGTTTCCACTCTACCGTCAATCACAGTAGGGGCTATGTACTTTATTTCCAACCCCTTCGCTTTATTCCGATTC